GGGCTGAAGAGCTGCTCCCTTGGGCCAGCTTCCCGGCGGGGCACGGTGATCTCCCCCACCTCCTCCATCTTCCTGGACAGACCGGACAGCTTCAGCGCCGCGCACTTCGCCGAGGACCCCAACACCATGTGAGTAGGCGCCGTGTCCCCGACGCCACCCCCTGAAAGTGGAAACGGAACCCAGGAGTCCTGGCTCTAACCACTAGGACACACTCCCTATCGCAGCACCCAACTTAAGCTCAGTCCAGTCACCGGCAGCCATTCCCCAGCCAGGGCCCCTTTCCCGGACAGTCTCGGGTGGCTCCCTGGACTCTGAAGGGCTGAATGAAGAGGGGTGTTGCGGAGATGGAACTTTCCACTCCTGGAGTGGGAGGGGCTGCTCGAATCCTCTGGTTCGGGACCACCCTGGTGTCTCCCCCGTCCCGCTGACTGCCGCTTGTCCACTGTCTCCTCACCGTGACCTGTGTGTGCGTCATAACGGGCGGGCTGGCAGCCAGCTGCTTGCGGGAGTGCGTCATGTGTGTCGTGTGCGCTGCGGGTGCAGTGTGCAAGGTGGCAGCCTTGTGTCATGTGTGTCGTGTGCGCTGTGGGTGCGGTGTGCAAGGTGGCAGCCTTGTGTCATGTGTGTCGTGTGCGCTGTGGGTGCGGTGTGCAAGGTGGCAGCCTTGTGTCATGTGTGTCGTGTGCGCTGCGGGTGCGGTGTGCAAGGTGGCAGCCTTGTGTCATGTGTGTCGTGTGCGCTGCGGGTGCGGTGTGCAAGGTGGCAGCCTTGTGTCATGTGTGTCGTGTGCGCTGCGGGTGCGGTGTGCAAGGTGGCAGCCTTGTGTCATGTGTGTCGTGTGCGCTGCGGGTGCGGTGTGCAAGGTGGCAGCCTTGTGTCATGTGTGTCGTGTGCGCTGCGGGTGCGGTGTGCAAGGTGGCAGCCTTGTGTCATGTGTGTCGTGTGCGCTGCGGGTGCGGTGTGCAAGGTGGCAGCCTTGTGTCATGTGTGTCGTGTGCGCTGCGGGTGCGGTGTGCAAGGTGGCAGCCTTGTGTCATGTGTGTCGTGTGCGCTGCGGGTGCGGTGTGCAAGGTGGCAGCCTTGTGTCATGTGTGTCGTGTGCGCTGCGGGTGCGGTGTGCAAGGTGGCAGCCTTGTGTCATGTGTGTCGTGTGCGCTGCGGGTACAGTGTGTAAGGTGGCAGCCTTGTGTCATGTGTGTCGTGTGCGCTGTGGGTGCGGTGTGCAAGGTGGCAGCGTTGTGTCATGTGTGCCGTGTGTGCGTGCGGGCCTGGTGTGCAAGGTGGCAGCTTTGTGTCATGTGTGCCGTGTGTGCGTGCGGGCCTGGTGTGCAAGGTGGCAGCTTTGTGTCATGTGTGCCGTGTGTGCGTGCGGGCCTGGTGTGCAAGGTGGCAGCTTTGTGTCATGTGTGCCGTGTGTGCGTGCGGGCCTGGTGTGCAAGGTGGCAGCTTTGTGTCATGTGTGCCGTGTGTGCGTGCGGGCCTGGTGTGCAAGGTGGCAGCTTTGTGTCATGTGTGCCGTGTGTGCGTGCGGGCCTGGTGTGCAAGGTGGCAGCTTTGTGTCATGTGTGCCGTGTGTGCGTGCGGGCCTGGTGTGCAAGGTGGCAGCTTTGTGTCATGTGTGCCGTGTGTGCGTGCGGGCCTGGTGTGCAAGGTGGCAGCTTTGTGTCATGTGTGCCGTGTGTGCGTGCGGGCCTGGTGTGCAAGGTGGCAGCTTTGTGTCATGTGTGCCGTGTGTGCGTGCGGGCCTGGTGTGCAAGGTGGCAGCTTTGTGTCATGTGTGCCGTGTGTGCGTGCGGGCCTGGTGTGCAAGGTGGCAGCTTTGTGTCATGTGTGCCGTGTGTGCGTGCGGGCCTGGTGTGCAAGGTGGCAGCTTTGTGTCATGTGTGCCGTGTGTGCGTGCGGGCCTGGTGTGCAAGGTGGCAGCTTTGTGTCATGTGTGCCGTGTGTGCGTGCGGGCCTGGTGTGCAAGGTGGCAGCTTTGTGTCATGTGTGCCGTGTGTGCGTGCGGGCCTGGTGTGCAAGGTGGCAGCTTTGTGTCATGTGTGCCGTGTGTGCGTGCGGGCCTGGTGTGCAAGGTGGCAGCTTTGTGTCATGTGTGCCGTGTGTGCGTGCGGGCCTGGTGTGCAAGGTGGCAGCTTTGTGTCATGTGTGCCGTGTGTGCGTGCGGGCCTGGTGTGCAAGGTGGCAGCTTTGTGTCATGTGTGCCGTGTGTGCGTGCGGGCCTGGTGTGCAAGGTGGCAGCTTTGTGTCATGTGTGCCGTGTGTGCGTGCGGGCCTGGTGTGCAAGGTGGCAGCTTTGTGTCATGTGTGCCGTGTGTGCGTGCGGGCCTGGTGTGCAAGGTGGCAGCTTTGTGTCATGTGTGCCGTGTGTGCGTGCGGGCCTGGTGTGCAAGGTGGCAGCTTTGTGTCATGTGTGCCGTGTGTGCGTGCGGGCCTGGTGTGCAAGGTGGCAGCTTTGTGTCATGTGTGCCGTGTGTGCGTGCGGGCCTGGTGTGCAAGGTGGCAGCTTTGTGTCATGTGTGCCGTGTGTGCGTGCGGGCCTGGTGTGCAAGGTGGCAGCTTTGTGTCATGTGTGCCGTGTGTGCGTGCGGGCCTGGTGTGCAAGGTGGCAGCTTTGTGTCATGTGTGCCGTGTGTGCGTGCGGGCCTGGTGTGCAAGGTGGCAGCTTTGTGTCATGTGTGTCGTGTGCACTGCGTGTGCGGTGTGCAAGGTGGTAGCCTTGTGTCATGTGTGTTGTGTGCACTGCGTGTGCGGTGTGCAAGGTGGCAGCCTTTTGTCATGTGTGCCGTGTGTGCATGCAGGCGCAGTGTGCAAGCAGCCTTGTGTCATGTGTGCTGTTTGTGCGTGCGGGCACGGTGTGCAAGATGGCAGCCTTGTGTCATGTGTGCCGTGTGTGCGCTGCGGGCGTGGTGTGCAAGGTGGCAGCCTTGAGTCATGTGTGCCGTGTGTACTGTGGCCGTGGTGTGCAATCAGCCTTGTGTCATGTGTGCCATGTGTGCATGCGGGCCTGGTATGCAAGCAGCCTTGTGTCATGTATGCAGTGTGTGCAGTGCGGGTGTAGTGTGCAAAGTGACAGCTTTGTGTCATGTGTGCCGTGTGTGCATGCGGGTGCAGTGTGCAAGGTGGCAGATTTGTGTCATGTGTGCCGTGTGTGCGTGCGGGCCTGGTGTGCAAGGTGGCAGCCTGGTGTCATGTGTGCCGTGTGTGCGTGCGGGCCTGGTGTGCAAGGTGGCAGCCTGGTGTCATGTGTGCCGTGTGTGCGTGCGGGCCTGGTGTGCAAGGTGGCAGCCTGGTGTCATGTGTGCCGTGTGTGCGTGCGGGCCTGGTGTGCAAGGTGGCAGCCTGGTGTCATGTGTGCCGTGTGTGCGTGCGGGCCTGGTGTGCAAGGTGGCAGCCTGGTGTCATGTGTGCCGTGTGTGCGTGCGGGCCTGGTGTGCAAGGTGGCAGCCTGGTGTCATGTGTGCCGTGTGTGCGTGCGGGCCTGGTGTGCAAGGTGGCAGCCTGGTGTCATGTGTGCCGTGTGTGCGTGCGGGCCTGGTGTGCAAGGTGGCAGCCTGGTGTCATGTGTGCCGTGTGTGCGTGCGGGCCTGGTGTGCAAGGTGGCAGCCTGGTGTCATGTGTGCCGTGTGTGCGTGCGGGCCTGGTGTGCAAGGTGGCAGCCTGGTGTCATGTGTGCCGTGTGTGCGTGCGGGCCTGGTGTGCAAGGTGGCAGCCTGGTGTCATGTGTGCCGTGTGTGCGTGCGGGCCTGGTGTGCAAGGTGGCAGCCTGGTGTCATGTGTGCCGTGTGTGCGTGCGGGCCTGGTGTGCAAGGTGGCAGCCTGGTGTCATGTGTGCCGTGTGTGCGTGCGGGCCTGGTGTGCAAGGTGGCAGCCTGGTGTCATGTGTGCCGTGTGTGCGTGCGGGCCTGGTGTGCAAGGTGGCAGCCTGGTGTCATGTGTGCCGTGTGTGCGTGCGGGCCTGGTGTGCAAGGTGGCAGCCTGGTGTCATGTGTGCCGTGTGTGCGTGCGGGCCTGGTGTGCAAGGTGGCAGCCTGGTGTCATGTGTGCCGTGTGTGCGTGCGGGCCTGGTGTGCAAGGTGGCAGCCTGGTGTCATGTGTGCCGTGTGTGCGTGCGGGCCTGGTGTGCAAGGTGGCAGCCTGGTGTCATGTGTGCCGTGTGTGCGTGCGGGCCTGGTGTGCAAGGTGGCAGCCTGGTGTCATGTGTGCCGTGTGTGCGTGCGGGCCTGGTGTGCAAGGTGGCAGCCTGGTGTCATGTGTGCCGTGTGTGCGTGCGGGCCTGGTGTGCAAGGTGGCAGCCTGGTGTCATGTGTGCCGTGTGTGCGTGCGGGCCTGGTGTGCAAGGTGGCAGCCTGGTGTCATGTGTGCCGTGTGTGCGTGCGGGCCTGGTGTGCAAGGTGGCAGCCTGGTGTCATGTGTGCCGTGTGTGCGTGCGGGCCTGGTGTGCAAGGTGGCAGCCTGGTGTCATGTGTGCCGTGTGTGCGTGCGGGCCTGGTGTGCAAGGTGGCAGCCTGGTGTCATGTGTGCCGTGTGTGCGTGCGGGCCTGGTGTGCAAGGTGGCAGCCTGGTGTCATGTGTGCCGTGTGTGCGTGCGGGCCTGGTGTGCAAGGTGGCAGCCTGGTGTCATGTGTGCCGTGTGTGCGTGCGGGCCTGGTGTGCAAGGTGGCAGCCTGGTGTCATGTGTGCCGTGTGTGCGTGCGGGCCTGGTGTGCAAGGTGGCAGCCTGGTGTCATGTGTGCCGTGTGTGCGTGCGGGCCTGGTGTGCAAGGTGGCAGCCTGGTGTCATGTGTGCCGTGTGTGCGTGCGGGCCTGGTGTGCAAGGTGGCAGCCTGGTGTCATGTGTGCCGTGTGTGCGTGCGGGCCTGGTGTGCAAGGTGGCAGCCTGGTGTCATGTGTGCCGTGTGTGCGTGCGGGCCTGGTGTGCAAGGTGGCAGCCTGGTGTCATGTGTGCCGTGTGTGCGTGCGGGCCTGGTGTGCAAGGTGGCAGCCTGGTGTCATGTGTGCCGTGTGTGCGTGCGGGCCTGGTGTGCAAGGTGGCAGCCTGGTGTCATGTGTGCCGTGTGTGCGTGCGGGCCTGGTGTGCAAGGTGGCAGCCTGGTGTCATGTGTGCCGTGTGTGCGTGCGGGCCTGGTGTGCAAGGTGGCAGCCTGGTGTCATGTGTGCCGTGTGTGCGTGCGGGCCTGGTGTGCAAGGTGGCAGCCTGGTGTCATGTGTGCCGTGTGTGCGTGCGGGCCTGGTGTGCAAGGTGGCAGCCTGGTGTCATGTGTGCCGTGTGTGCGTGCGGGCCTGGTGTGCAAGGTGGCAGCCTGGTGTCATGTGTGCCGTGTGTGCGTGCGGGCCCGGTGTGCAAGGCCTTTCGGCTGGGCTCTGCAAGGGCACCTGGGCTACGCCCTCAGCTCCCCTTCGGGAGGCGGGGCTGCTGGCTTGCGGGAACGGATTCTGGATCTGAGGACGGCCGGACGTGGGAAGGTGTCTGGCTGGGACTGGCTGCCTGCCGTCCCTGGGGAGCGCAGTGTCCCACCAGCTCAGGGCTGCCCCTCTCCTCGCAGAACCCCCAGTGCTGGGGATCTTCAGGGCGCGCGATGTCCCAGCCAGGCCAGCACCTGGAGTCGGCTCCTTCGCCTGGCCTGCTACCTCGTTAAATGGCCCAGTAACGAGCCTGGCTCTGATTCGCTGGTGCTGGCGAGAGTCTGGAGGCCGTTCCCTGCAGTCGTGGGAATACAGCCAGACGTGGGGCAAACGAGAGCGGGGCGGG